AAATTGCAATTTTCTCTTATAAGAAATTAAAATGTTCATATTATCTACTACTATAAATTATGGTAAAAAAATTATTTATGATTTAATTTGTATAATTTATTACGTAGTAGTATTTATCAGTGTTCTAAAAGTCGCTAGGCGCCCGCTAGGCGCTCGACCAGTGCCTAGCGCCTAGAGCGCCTAGTTGGGGCCCAGAAATCAATAGTAAATACCTTATTTTTTATTTATTTTAACTACCTACAAAATAATATTATCTCAACATATTATAAATTCACACACCAAAGTCTAAATAACAATATTATATATTAAAGAAAACATGAGAACAAAATAATGTAATTAGTATTTAAAAAAAAAAAAATTAAAAAATTGCCGCCGAGCCCGCCTAGGAGCGCCTAAGTCCGCCTAACCTTCTGGCCGCCGAGCCCGCCAAGGCCGCCTAGGAGCGCCTAGGCGGGCCTAGGCGCCGCCTAGCTGCCTGGCCGATTTTTTCTGCCGATTTGTACAAATCGGAGGCGCCCGGGCACCGCCTAGCGCCTAGGCGCTGCCTAGGCGGCCGCGTAGGCCGATTTTTAGAACAGTGGTATTTATATGATTTATGCAAAATTAAAGTATAATATTACTATAGGGTTTTGTGACTCAATCAACTTACCCTATATGGGTCTTTATAGACACTTTTACCCTATGTGGTCTTTATAGAATTATTTTTGTTGGGCCATAGAATAGCTGACCCCAATTATTTTAAACTAACCGAGAATTATCCTCTAAGAACTTTTGAGCTTTTCGAAAAATTACAGATTCGTATATATATGTCTCAGTTCACTTCCTGGCCGATTGTTTTCCCCGTGGAGGCGGCTTCCTCAGGATTGCTAAGTATTGTAGAAGTATGTTAGTCCTTTACTTGATTCTTATTGATTTGTATGTGTTTTCTGATAGTTTTCTAGTTTTGGATCGAATCTCAACTGTATCATAACATTCTTAACTTGTTTGAAATAGCATATAGTGATATGGTAAAAGTAAATGAATCCTGATTAGATCAAAATTGACTCTGTTATTACATGTATATATAAACCCACACTTAAACTGGATCATAAAATTCATATATTTCTTGGAAAGCATAGTTTTACAATCTGTTGGGAGTGTGAAGTGCAGAAATTGAAATAGGATTGTGATATGTTAAAATTAAGAATCCTAATTAGGCCAAAAATTGGATTTCTATTGTATGTATATATCATCAAGTTCTAATATATATATATATATATATATATGTATGTATATATTTTTTGTGGTAGTTGTTAGAATGGAGAAGAAGTCGAAAAGATCTCGTCCATCCGAGGATGACGATGATGTAGTGGAAATCGATAGACCGATTGAGTGACAAAAAAAACCACGCCAACTTTTCACATTTCCATCAAGATTCTACAGTTACAAGTGCATATTTTTGGAAGATGATCTCTTCAAATTCCTCACCTCTCACGGAGTCAATGATGACAATGTTATTCAAAAATGGGTGAACAAAACCAGAGATTTTGTCGAATAGCTTAAAACCAAAGATTCTGACCTTAGAGTTTAATTACCCCATCGCTATGCATATCAAACTTTACACGGTGCAAGCAGAAAACGAGAGCATTGGTGATGCCAGAAGGCGGGCCATAAGCACGTGGAGTTTGGGGATAAGCTCATTAAGCTTCTCTCGACTCCCCCGCCTTACAAATTTCGGATAGAATTAAAAGATTATGTGAGTCACCGGATGATTTGCGGTTCGTGTTACTGTCAGCTCCATTCTCCAGACTACATAGTTTTCTTGCCATGCTCTCATGCCTATCATCCTTCTTGCATATGTGATTGGCCGAACGGGAAATGCAATGTCAGATGTGCCTACAGTACGTGGAGTTTCGGACTTTTCTTCAGTGTGCTGTCCTTCGGACTAGAGATTCTGGCCTCAACTAGATAGATATCAAGGTTGCTTGGCCTCAAACTTTCATTCTCTTGAACCAAGTATTTATTATGTCTTTTCCTTAGTTATTTACCGGTTTCTTCATATATTTTTTTTGTCGATTTATTAAAACTGTGGTACATTTAAGCTGTCATCTACATTTTATAATTTTTAATTGGCTGCCAGCGTATTTTATGGGGTGAAATTTTTAATCTGTCAACATGATGATATATGCTTCCAACATGGTATTGGTTATCGGCGGCAAAATTTCAAAAAAAGATACACAAAGTTGGGCATTGTCGGGAAATCGAAAATTATGTTGTCTCTAACGGAAAAAATACATTTAGTTGTCATTTTGGCCGAATAAGGTGTATTAATCACCCAGTCCAGATAAATTGTTGACGTGGACGGATAAGGTAATTTCCTACGTGTTATTTACATGGTGTGATGTGCCATCTTTCTTTCCAACTGCACAATTACACCTAGATAAAAAATAATAAAAATAAAAAATAAAAAAATAAAAATTATTTGGTCGTCGGGCTGGTCGCGCGCTCATCGAATGGCTTGTCTCGCCGGGTGAGCTGCCGCGTGTAGTAGTCGCCGATGGTCAGGGCGGCCATGTTTGGTGCTCGTCGGATGAGCATCCGGGATATATATATTCGCCAGGATGAGAAAACGAATCACCTGCTCCGATTCGTCGTGATGGAATACTTATTGAATCTCCCGTACCTCTCACAAGACTCACGAATTTTCTCTCCTTTTCATTCGATCGAGAGCTTACGATTAGAGACCTTGATCGTGTGTCCCATGATTATGTTTGGAGGCTAACGACTTGGTGTATATGTAGGCTATAGTAGGAACTCTAATGAGGTGTTAAATATGAGTTCTTAATTGTGGGTCTAACTGTGGGTCTAGCCCACTTCATTCACAATTGAATATATTTAATACCACTATAGAAATATTAGTGAACTCCCCCTTTAGTCCCCGAATTATAAGTAATTCGTGTCCTGGCTAATTGCTCGAATTACCTTTCAATGTTTAAGATATACCATTAGTTGATTAATTTAATTACAGACAATATAAATAATAAACTTCTCGAACCGAAATTAATACTACTCAATTCTTTATCATTATGTCAGAAATTAATCCGCCAACCGGGCTTCACATAATAATCCTTCTTCAGCTCATGTCGGAGATGTCATCGACCCGACGGACCGGGACACGATGACTGTAAAATATTTTAACGACACAACATGTAATCAACATCATTTACCAAAATACCGAGCCTGTCCTGTCTAACAAAATATGTCTCACCCTTGGCAAATCAAATAATAATAACTAAACACATATGTTCGTTTATTGTCTTACGGGTTAAGGGAAACAATAATCATATCCTCTTGTAGGTCCGTTCAATACATCTGAGATGTATTAGTGTAATTCGTTAGTCAAAGATTTATATTTTCCTCTTTTAGGTCTGTTCAATGCTAACTCGAAAATCACTCTACAACATGTCACGACAGTTAGTTTAAATTTGCCTGGACTGTGAACAAATATTTATATTTTACAAAGAACCGATAATATGATCTTTCTATTTGACACATCGAATCATATCATCTACAATGTAAAATTAAAGAATTATGTTTGCATAAATAAATAAACCACGAACATTCACTTGACTAAAAATATAAACCTCATTCAAAATGAAATTGGGAGTAACACAAAGTCGAGCTTCTACAATATACTCCAACAGCATCCTCTCGCTTAGCCGTTGCACATACCGACACCACGTCTTCTCGTACAACGTTGTTTCAGATCTAGGGTTTGGGGGTTTCTTATGGGGTTGCTTGATGACAGGATGCTCAACAGCTGGCTAGGGGAACAGAGTGCAGAAGCTGAGGTCGGCGCAGAGTCTATCGAGATGAGCCTCGCTGTCGCTGGCTGAAGAGGTGGAGGGAAGCGTGAGATAACGGCGACGCATGAGAGGAGGAGGATCTGGTGACGATTCATCTGATGAAGAAACGAAAAGAATAAGAATGGAAGAAAAAAAGTAACAAACATTACGGGGAGTTAAATATTAACTTATCTGTACTAATAATCACATATAACAAACATGGGTTTAGTTTTATCTGAACAGTACAATCCGAACAAACATTGTGGAGAGTTAAATATATCTTACGTGCACTCACATTCACATATTATAATCGTATGTTTAGTTTTATCTGAACATTACAATCTACTATTCCCATTTTAATTTAATTGAATCCATCGAAGCTAATATTCTCTTAGGTTCCGTTTGTTTTGAGGGATTTGAAATCCATTGATTTCAAAATTTTTGAAATATATTTTTTTTAATTGCACACTCCTTGAATGGATGTGTTAAAAATATTATAAATAAATTGTCTAGCTCGCACCGATGGTGTTGACTCGCAGTGGTGATGAACCTAAATGATCGCAGACGGCGTGATCGTCAACGGTGGATTTCAAATGACTAGGTTTGAGGAGTCATTTCAAATCCTTCAAAATAATGACTAAAAAAGATATAGCATGAATTTGAAATCCTCCAACTTCTATTATCATCCCAACATGCATAAGAATTTGAACTTGTAAATTTCTCAAACAAACGGAGCCTTAGATATTATATTATAGATGGATAAAAAGGTAGCTAAATTGGTGGCCAACGTAGAAAAGTGCTAAATTGGTGGCCAACATAGAAAAGCTCTCATCAATGCAAAAGTTAACTTTAAATCAAATTTTCAACGAATAAACTTATTTTTATATAAATTATAGATATTGAACTTATATTATAAATACATGAAATCATTTTTTAAGTTTTGAAAGTGACAGAATTTTAAGTTTTTAATTTATATTTATAAGTAAACTTATTTTTATATAAAATGAGCGTCTTATCTTCTTAAACTACAAATTAAGGAGCGTATGCGCCAAGGCACCCACGCCAAAAGGATCATGACAAATGTATCATCATCTTCACCTTACAGGCAAAAGGGTACTTCAGATACCATTTTCCTCCTCAAAAATCCCTAAAATACACAAACGCCCTTTCTCTAATTTGCCCACTTCCCAACTTCAACACCCAAAACCCAATTCAAAACCGCGACCAATTGCTTCACCTGACGACCACTGCCATTCGAGCGAAATCATCGTGTCCAACAGGAAGATAACCTCCTACATCCGATGCGGGGACTTGAAATCCGCTCTGGAAATCTTCCGGAGCATGAAGGCGAGGTCCACGGTCACCTGGAACTCGATTCTGGCCGGGCTCTCCGCCAAACCCGGCAATCTGAAAGAAGCCCAAGACCTGTTCGACGAAATTCCCGAACCAGACACCGTATCCTACAACATCATGCTGTCCTGTTATTTCAGAAATGCCCAAATAGATTCTGCTAAGGATCTTTTTGACCGGATTCCGGCCAAAGATGCCGCTTCCTGGAACACCATGATCACGGGCCTCTCCCGGAACAGAGAAATGAGTGATGCCCAGAAGCTTTTCCACATCATGCCTGGAAAAAATGCAGTGACCTGGAATGCAATGATATCAGGATACGCGGAGAAAGGAGAAATGAAAACGGCCCTGGAATTACTTAAAAAGGCTCCTGTAAAAGGCCCGATTGCATGGACGAGCATAATAACCGGTTACATGAGGCGGGGAGAGGTAGTTCTTGCCGAGAGAATCTTTTCCCACGCAGAAAAGAATGTGGTGACGTGGAATGCAATGATCTCAGGTTATGTGGAGAATGGCAGGGAAGAAGACGGGCTGAATCTTTTCAAGAAAATGACGTGTTTGGGAATTTGGGCCAGTTCGTCGGGCCTGAGCAGCCTTCTCCTGGCCTGCAGCAACCTATCCCTTTTAAAACTGGGGAAGCAATTTCATCAGCTCACTTACAAGCTTCCTTTATACGCGGACCCCACTGTGAAAACCTCTTTGATCAGCATGTACTGCAAATGCGGGGTTTTGGAGGATGGTAAGAAATTATTCTCACAAATGTCCCGTAAAGATGTCGTCTGCTGGAATGCAATGATTTCGGGCTACGCGCAGCACGGACTAAGCCGAGAGGCACTCGATTTGTTTTATGAGATGAAAGAGAAAGGGACGAAGCCCGATTCCATCACATTCGTAGGTGTCCTCTCCGCATGCAACCATGCGGGTTACGTAAATCTCGGGATTTCGTATTTCGAGAAAATGCAGAGTTTTTACGGGATTATTCTGAAACCCGATCATTACGCGTGCATGATCGACCTTCTTGGCCGAGCAGGAAAATTTGATGAAGCTATGTGTTTGATTAAAGAAATGCCGTTTGAGCCGAACGCAGCTATATATGGAACTCTGTTAGGCGCTTGCAGGGTTCATAAGAATGTGGATATTGCTGAATTTGCTGCTGAAAAACTGCTTGCTCTCCAGCCTTGTAATTCGGCTGCTTACGTGCAGCTTGCGAATGTGTATGCCGTGAGCAAGAACTGGGAGAATGTGTCTAGAGTTAGAAAGTCGATGAAGGAGATGAGGGCTGTGAAGACACCTGGATATAGCTGGATCGAGATTAAGAGCGTGATTCATGAGTTTCGGTCGGGGGACGGGATTCATTCGGAGTTGGGGTGCATTCATGAGAAATTAAACGAGGTCGAGAGGAAAATGAGGCTGGCGGGTTATGTGCCGGTTCTTGATTCGGCTTTGCATGATGTTGGGGAGGAGCAGAAAGAAAAGCTTCTTCTCTGGCACAGTGAGAAATTGGCTATTGCCTTTGGGTTGATGAGAGTGGAGTGTCATTTGCCGATTAGGGTTTTCAAGAACTTGAGGGTTTGTGACGATTGCCACCTGGCGATAAAGTTTATGTCGGCCGTGGAATGTAGGGAGATTGTTGTGAGGGACACGACGAGGTTTCACCATTTTAGGGATGGAAAATGCTCTTGTGGTGATTACTGGTAAATGATGCAGTTTTGTTTGTGAAACTCTATTAGGACATACTTGTAGTCCAGCTTGTTTACTTCAAATGTATTGCTAATTGAAACTGCAACTTCAACAATTTGTTTTCCATTTTTTCTCTTCTTTTCTGGCCATTTTCTACAACTTTCGGCAGCTTGAATATAAGATTTTTTTATTTTTTTATTTTGTTTTTTTGTTGTTAGTGGGGTTTTGAGTTTATATTAAAATAATATTTAAAATAAAATAATTAAAGTTAATTTACTATAAAAATAGGAAGAAGATGATGTGAACTAATGATAATTAAAATTATATGAATTGATTAATAGTAAATTAAAGTTGATGTAATGTGAAGATAATTGATTGATATTATTTAATTATATTGACAATGATGACAATGAAATTGAGTTAAAATTAAGTTAAATTTGAGTTTTTAAAAAATAATTATTTAAAAATGATGTATTAATACCTTGCATTCAAGCATCCTATTAGCAAATTGATTATTCTGCCCGTTAGCGTTGGATGGAACAAAATTAAGTAATAAGTATAATTAAATAAAAATATTGAGTATTAAAAGTGAAAAGAAATCAACTCAGAATTTTTCCCAACCATGGATATTAGATTTAGCACCGCCGTTTGAAATTGAGAGAGAGAAAATACCGATTCGGATGCATCATCATTTATCAGACCTTTTCTTTCTGATCAAACTACACTATCAACCATGGACCGCCGTTCTTTTCATCTTCTATCTTTCTTCCGGCGCTCTTTTTTTTTTTTTTTTTTTTTTTTTNTCAACAGCCACCTCTGCTATGGTTATATGGCACCGACTATACAAGAGGAACTATATGGATAGTTGATTGAAGTGGGAGGACTGAAAATAGGTATCCGCAGCAGACTACGACCGAGGATTTGTGTAGAAAACGATTATTTGTCGGGCCCTTGCCCACCATCGTTTATGAGGTAAACTTTTTGCAGGAGGGTTTCTTATTGAGCCAATTATTTATGTTCTTTAAGCATGCATTTCGATTATTTGAATTTGATTTGCTTAGGAATGATTACCTGATATGGAAGGTTTTGGTAAGTTTGTCGTGAATTTTACTGATGAAATTGACAGACTAAATAGTGTCTATCGGACTTCATATCTATTATGGTTTGTAAAGGTTTGGGAATACTAATCATCAGTGAGTCAGAAGAATCCAAATATTGCCTTCTTAAGAATCCAAAATTGCCTTCTTTTTGGTTAATTTTTCTCTCTCTCAGAACAACACCACTGTATATTCTTAGTCATTTTCCACCTTACATATTGTTTTTGAGGTCTTCACAGAAGTCGTAGTTGATGTAATTAAACAATTCATAATTTCATTTTTATGGACATTCTTTTATTTTACATACATCATGGATTCATATTTTCATTATTTTGTTTAGACTCATTTTGGAGTACCACATCTTCGTTGGATGATTGAAGCCAACGTCTCTCATCTCTCTTGTGAGGATCAATTTTACGTCAATTTCACATTGGAAGCATCATTCTTTATTAGCGAGATAGATATGAATTTCTTTTGGCAGTCGCTATCTATATGTTATGTGCATTGATTTTGTTGGTCATATTTTGATGCTTCTTCATTGACAAATTATTACTCTCATTGGAACTTCCTCATACGATTTTTGTAACTTTTTATATAGTATAGTATCCTGAATAAAATATCCAACATTTATAACTCTGAACTTTTTTTACGAAGTCATGCGAGAATCTTTGATTCTGCTCTAGTTATTCTGACCATCTACTTCTATTCATAATTTCTTAGTAATTTTGTGAATAGATCGTCCTTAGTTGTTTCTTAATTTTTTGTCTTTTTGGAACCCAGTTTCCTTAAGTTATCACTTGTATAGTAGTATTCATTGATTTAGGGGTTTCTGTTATGAATCCTTTGTTTGCACTTTTCTTTTCCACTTAGCACACATTTATGTATTAATACTTCTTCATATTATTCTTCTATGAATGGCACCTCTTCATGGATGTTTGCATATTATAACGAGTCTATAAATAAGCCCCTGCTTTCAGACTAATATCTCAATTAATGTGTTAATTGAAGCTTGCCTGTTATTTGTTTTGTTATTTTCTTTCCACTCCCAACAACTTGCACTTGATAAAATAGTTGACTATCTTTTGGAGAGTGGAGACTTGTCTTATTTTATGGGATTCATGTTCACTTTTGCACTTTGGCTTAGATACTTGTCACCTTATGTTCGATCATTTATTTCTTGTTAGCTTTTTTGTTTGTTTGTCTATTTCCACCTATGAATTCATTTATTCAAACTTTTAACTCGTGCTGTTTTATTCTTTACCTAGTTATTTGTGTGATTCGTAATTCCACTTCTCTCGGCATAAGTATTTCAATCCTATGTGTATGTGTGAACTCTTTTCCATGGTAATCCTTAATTGACTTCCTCGTGATCTTGTTTAGATTTTTTCATTCTTGGTATACAATGGTGAATCTTTTATCTTCATCTATAATTTGATCATTTCTCTTGAAATTCTTCCTCATGCGACCTCAATTCTGAGAATTTCATTATGTATTTTAGGCGGCGGTTATTCACTCAAAATTTCTTAGTGTTGTTAAAGGACAGTTGAATCCTTCTTGTTTGGTTTCTATCGATATATCATCTAAAATACTCACTTTAGATTTTGGTGGAAGTTTTATCCCTTCACTGATGTAATTGACTTTTAAGTCTAAAATTGTCCTCTTTTGTCCTTTCATGTTTTATGATGTTTTCTTAACCATCCCTGCGGTATAATATATGCTCGGTATAATATATGCTCGATGGGTGTTGTTAATTATTTTGCAAATTTTTGGTCCCCTTTGCAATATGGATGAAATATTTTGTATTATCTTTTTCTTATTTGTCTCTTCTTTTGTCTTGCACGATGTCTTATATCTTGAGAATGTTTTGATGTTTCCGCCTTTCGTCTATGGCTTACACGCATGGTTAAATAGTGCTTTACTTCGATGGCGTTTTTTATCGCTAGTTTCTTGCCCAAAAACATTTTCTCTCACTTTAGTTTGGCCTATTATGCATTATTATTATCATTAATATTAGTTAATCACCTACAATTGTCGGAGGATATTTGATATAGTTTTGTTTGAGCTCATTCAACTTTGGCTAATTTATTATTGAACCTTTGGCGTAATTCTATTAAGGATATTCACTTCATTTTCACACCACGAGAAGTATTTTATCAATAAGGTATCTTGTCATCTATAAAAATTCTATATGTTGATCATCGATTTGTATTCAAGTGATGTATAATTCTGTGTTCTTAAGTTCATAGTTTAAATTCACTTAACTTGCTACACTTTATTCTTTCCATTATTTATTGTTTCCCCTCTCTTATTTCTTATTTATGAAGTTATAGATCTTTGTATTAAGATTTCATTTTTCCTTTACTGCCTCTTCACTTAAGATAATTATACTATATGATTCATCTCATATATTTAACAACGTAAAATCTGTCCTTTTCATGGTCCCATCTGTCAATACTCTATTCTTATTTTGGTGTAGTATAGTTGACTTTGGACGACTTTATTTCCTGCTCTATTTTCTGACTGCATTTGAAGATATGTACTAAATAACTTGCTTGTTAGTCATTGCTTGACCATAATTTGATAATTCTAAATTGTATTCATTTTGTTCTTAATTCCTTACTTGATTATGAGAATGTTAATATGAGGTTTTTCCTATTTGCATCACTAGCATTTGTTTTAGGAAATAGTAAAATATTTTTTTCTACTCAATAGTTGTTTTCTGATTAGTACTTTCGTTTACAGAGCTCTTTGTGAAGTATTATACCTTGCATCTCAGACTTTTAGTTAAACTTTTTGAGAGGTCTCGGTTCATATTTGCACTTTTTATTGATTATGTTGTGTTAATTTCACCTTGATCAATTACTTGACCATGACAATTTGTTTCAAGCAAGTTTCTTACACCTTCATGTATTTTATTATTGTTCTACTCTTTGAAATGTTCTTTCAATTGAATTTGAATTGTTAATTGTTATTAGATTGTGGTCCTGGTATCTCGAAGCACAAATATTATTTATACTGATAATAATTATACAAAAAACTTTTTAATATGTTCTTGTTGTATGGTTTATGTTAGAGATACTCAGGTACATGTGTCGGATATGGGTACATATTTAAGTATCCGGTATTTATATTTCTAAAAGTTAAGATACGGGGACACGTACCCAAACTTGAACTTGAACATGGGTACGATATGGGTACGATAGTCAGTGTAATAAAATTAAAACAATATAATTAATTTTACAACATTAATAGGCAAGAAAGTATATAGATCATTGCAAATTTAGATTCATAATAATTCAATACAAATATATTACTAATGCAACATTGAAATAAAAAGAGAAAACATTAAATTAACATTTTAACTTAATTTTCTACTCATTATTTCCGTCCTTCTCCACATCCATGGATTCGATTTTGTTTCTAGGTCCGATTTATTGATAGATAGATCAGCTAGTTGGTTCATATATCCATCAATATCAAATTTGTCTCCACCTATAAAATAATTAAACATCAATAAAATTGAAAGCATATTATATAATTAAATAGTTTAGAAGACAAATGAAAGTAACTTACAAATGTCCCAATATTATATGAATTCTTCTTCCTTGACAAGAGTGGTATGTTGGCATGGACATAAACCAAGTCCTCGGCTCTTGAACTCGTTAGCTTGTTCCTCTTCCCATTTTGGATCTGGGAGTATGTACTCCAATTTCTTTCGCAACGATAATGATACTGGCGGCGAAAAGTAATTTGAATGTTAAAGATTGCAACAATTTTGCACTTGATCCGTAGTTAGCCCACCAAGATATTGGTTCTTTGCATACCTTGCACCTTTAATGAACGAATCACTAAATAAACTAGCATTTGAAAATTTCCTGTATTCCATAGACACTTTTCTAAGATCGTTTGGATCCTAAAAAATTCTCTTGAAACACTTCACTATAGAAACTTCTTGATCTTCATGTGGTACTAACCTTTTGGCACCATCTCCATCTTTAAGCTAGGAATCAATATAGTATATCAGTGCATGTTCCATCTCTCCTCCAAAATTTCGTGAATGACAAAAAAACGTGACTGACCAACAAACAAATCTTTCTCATGTTTGAAAACATCATCTTTGATTTTCTCTACCATTGAATCCCACATATCGTATACAAGATGCAGAAGATGCAGAATAGGAGAATCCGTATGAGTAGCTCGAGATAGCATATGTATCAATAATGCATTTCTTGACTTCACGAACTTTAATATTAATTGCACTCTTTCCATTAAATACAAGATGTAGGTTTTAATCATGGATGAAAGGTGGAAAACCTACAAAGGAGATGGAAAGAGTGCAATTAATATTAAAGCTTGTGAATTCAAGCAATGCATTGTTGATGACCAGTGGTGGGATATGCTCGACTATCTATTGAATCTCACTAGACCTATCATAGATTTCATACGAGTTGTTGACACGGATTCTCTTATTTTGCATCTTGTATATGATATGTGGGATTCAAAATGATAGAGAAAATCAAAGATGTTTTCAAACATGAGGAGAAAGATTTGCATGTTGGTTAGTCATGTATTTTTTATGTCATTCACGAAATTTTGGAGGAGAGATGGAACAAAAGTAATACTCCTTTGCATTGCCTGGCACATTCAATACTATACTGGTTCCTGACTTAAAGCTGAAGATTGTGTCGAAAAGTTGGCACCACATGAATATCAAGAAGTTTCTATCAATAAAGTGAAGTGTTTAAGAAAATTTGTGCGGATCCAAACAATGTTAGAAAAGGGTATATGAAATATGGGAATTTTCAAGTGCAACTAGTTTAATTAGTAATTCTTTCATTAAAGATGCAAGGGTATGCGAAGAACTAATATCGTGGTGGGTTAACTAACGGATCAAGTGCAAAATTGTTGCAATATTTGGCATTCAAATTACTTTCGCAACCAACATCGTCATCATGTTGCGAAAGAAAATTGGAGTACATACTCCCAGATCCAAAATGTGATGAGGAACAAGCTAACGAATTCAAGAGTCGAGGACTTGGTTTATGTCTGCCAACATACGACTCTTTTCAAGGAAGAAGAATTCATATAACGAATGACCTTCAAGATATTAGGACATTTGTAAGTTACTTTTATTTGAGTATTCTAAATTATTTAATCACATAATATGCTTTCAATCTTATTGATTTTTTATTAGCGGAGACAAATTTGATATTAATGGAGATATGAACCAACTAGCAGTCAATGAACCAGACCTAGAAACATAAATCTATGGATGTGGAGAGTGACGGAAATGATGAGTAGAAAATTAAGTTACGATGTTAATTTGTTGCTTTCTCTTTTTATTTCAATGCTGCTTTCGTAATATATTTGTAATGAATTATTATGAATCTAAATTTACAATGATCTGTATACTTTTTTTTCTATTAATGTTGTAACATTAATTATTATTTTTTTAATTTTATTAACTTGTCGAACCCGTGTCCAAATTTGGGTAGGTATCCCCATATCTTAACTTTTAGAAATATAAATACACGAATACTTCAATATGTACCCTTTCCGACACCCGCCACCTATATCCGAGTCCATGTAACATAGACAAGTACCAGAGGACCAAGTTTCATTGTGAACTCTCTGCCTCAAGGACGCGGGTGAAGTTTGGGTGCGGCAAATATTCTCCCCTTCAATTGTGCAGTTTCATACGACTTACTTCTCGAATTGCAAAATATCCAGCCAAAATCCACCAAAATACTCCAATTAAACACCTTTTGTCTCCGAATGATCCCTTCATCTTCCATCAGTTCACATGATGGACCAGCCAAACACCTACTGCTCCAAGCTTGTCCAGAAACATAGGTATGATAGTGGGGTAAAAGATTTTTTGCAACAATATGAGTTTGTACTATGAGACCTAAAGATTCTTCTT